ACTGCAAATCAGAAGTGGGAGTTGAAGTCCACACGTCTTAAAGTTGCCAAGATTGACAAACACTGGTCTAAACATTTATAAAAACTGCAAATCAGAAGTGGGAGTTGAAGTCCACACGTCTTAAAGTTGCCAAGATTGACAAACACTGGTCTAAACATTTATAAAAACTGCAAATCAGAAGTGGGAGTTGAAGTCCACACGACTTAAAGTTGTCAAGGTTGAAAAACACGAGTTTAGATTGTATCTCTGTGCCGGCAATGTCATTGGATTGCATTCGATTACAGAATTTTCTCTCCTAGCAATTGATAAACACCGAAACTGCTGATTTGATTGCATCCGGACTCTTAATTCTAGGGCTGGTACCCATGTATTTAAGCTGAACCTTTTGGTTCACGGGTTGCATCTTTCATTTTCCGTCTTCTTCCACCCATTCTAAAACCCGCATTATCCATCTTGGCCTTACCCGGAGGAGGGAAGACAGGATAGTAAGGAATCTAAAGAAAAACGCCACGTGTGTCTTTATGGTCGGACTTAGGAGCTGTATGAAGATGACGCGACATTAAAAATAAGGCCGAGAACGGCAATTAAATAATCAGGGAAGAACGGAAGGGCCTTAATTACGACCAAGCTTGTGGGGAACGGAGGAAACGCTGCTTTTCGAAAGCTTGGGTTCCTTTCTCTTGCATCCTCCCGTTCCTCGAGTGTGCAGCGAGTTTGAAAGGACAATCAGAACTGAGCCAAACCCGATCTCGTGGTTTACCTCCTGCATTTGGCTGAAAAATGCAAATTGCAGCCCAGATTGCGACATGTCCGTGTTTAGGGACATGGAGGTGCCTCTTGAAGGCAAAAACCCCCTCACTGTGGTTTTGCTCCTGATGCGTTCCAGGTTGAGCTGCTTCGTTGAAAGAAACACGAAATACACCCACATGGGTACCCCCCCACCTATGTACACACGCCCATCACCTGCGCACACTCACATCCATGCACACAGTTAAGACATGGGATAAACGTCCCCCTCTTGTGGTGTGTGCATCGCATGAAGCAGAATTTGGTCCTCAAAAGCTGGCGCTGTCATAAAATGTGCCGCCGGACCCCCGGTTGGTTTTGCTGGCGAGGGGCAGCACGGCTTCCCTCCAGGAGGAGACGAACCAATTGCCAGCTTTCCGCTTGGATTTCACAGCGATCAAAAGTGGGTGTTCCCGCGCTGTCCTTCACCTGGTGGTGGAATTAATCCAGGAAGGACGCTGCAATGAAATTTAGGCTGGAAAAACCGCCGTCTTTCACCCAAGCCTGGCGTTTCTGTAACGTAAGAGGAGCCTGCCTCTCGTCCCCGTTTTGAAAAGGTTGATTCTGGCCGGTGTGAGAAGTAGCTTTCGCAGCAGCAACGCAGAAAAGGGTTTCCACTGTTCTTTTTAGAATATTTTTTGGACTCCCTGGTCTGGTCTACCCTGTGGCATTTCCTGGTGGTCTCCCATCCAGGTGCTACCAAGCTCCACCCTCCTTAGCTTTCCAGGACCCCTCAGGGGTTGACCCTGCTGTGTCCTTGACCGGCTAGGAGCCAATGAGTAGAACAGGAGGGCTTGTGTTGGAAATGACAAGAAATTCCCCCAGTTCTTTATTTATTTGCTTATTACATTTCCCTCTCGCCTTCCCTCCAGCAGCTCAGGGCATTTATACAACATCCTTTCCTCACGTGTTCCCCACAGCAACGACCCTGTGAGGTAGGACAGACGGACACACACACACACACGCACACACCCGTGCTGCCTAGCCAAGCCATACTCTGTGCTTTCTGCCTGGAGTTTATTGGTTTCATCAAGGTGCGAGGCTCTGATTTGCAGGGAGATGCTGAGACCTGCATAAATTCGTCCTGGCTTGCTCCTTGACGCATGAATGGATGGCTCGCTCCTTGTTCATCTCTCTTCCCCGCCGTGTCTCTTTTCTTTAACATTAGCATCTGTTTTACCTGCAATTTGTTAGGAAGCATGTCTCTATTTAAATGCAAATCTGACATTTGCCTTGGGGAATAGGCTGCATTAAAGGAGGTGGCAGCACTGGGCATCAATTTATGGGCTGGGTCCCCCCCAAAAAAGCTAAGCAGGGTCAGACTTGGTGAGTCCTTGGATCGGAGGCCTGGACTTGGAAGATGAAAAAATTGGGGTGGCCGGCTGCTGTGCAATGGTGCTGAGGAAGAAAACGACCCGAACCTGATGGTGAAATCATCAAGAGTCGAGCTTGACCCAAGGGAGATATTTCCTCCCTTCTCTTTCCTTTGATTTTCTAGCACTGAGCTGACTCTGGTTCATCTTGGAAAGATAAGCTGGGTCCAAGCTGGTTAACCCTTGGCTGGGAGTTTGGGGAATTGCAATCCTAACCCTTCTGGAACGAACAGATTTTAGGACGGGTGGAAGAAGACTGCGTCTGAAAGATGCAACCCGCGAATCACCATTTTCAGCCTAAACGCACGGGCATGTAGGACTCGAAGCGTTTGATTTATTTTGTATATTTCACACCCATCCCCTCCCTGGAGGTTTTCAACCCAAGGCTGGGTAGGGAGAGTCCTGTCCTGAGCATGACCTCCTTCTAACCCTGTGGTTTTATGACTTATGCCTCTGTCGGCCAGATCTTCTATGGCAGTGTTGTCCAAACTTGGCCACTTTAAGATGAGTGGACTTCAACTCCCAGAATTCCCCAGCAAGCATGGCTGGCT